TTGTTGAATTGGGGGTGCGGTTAGTACTTTTCATGTTTTCAATTTTTGTTGAGAACTCTTTAACACTGAAGCCAAAATTGGGGGTGCAGTTACTATTAGGTATGCGGTTTATAATAGGATTTTAACGGTATTAACCTTTGAGTGCCAATGTCAATTTTTGTAATTTTTCACAGAATAAATTTCGTTTCCATATTTTTTTTCAAAAATTTAGATCTTGAACTGTACTCAATAGAAAATTATGTTCCTTTGGTCAAAAATTATTCAAACATTTATAGTGTTTCACCAAAATTTTGGCAAAAAAAATGATGGTTCCCACAATGCTGATGTGACAATATTGTGCAATTTGGGGCGGGGGGTATCAGAATTATTACTGGTATAAATTATTCTTACATTACCTGTTTTCTATTGACTTTGGTGGAGCTTTCAGCAAGTAATGTGTTATATGCTACTATCACTGATCTAATAATTAATAACTTGTCCAATTATCACTTTTTAGCTCCGCTGTCGACTTTGTCGAGCGGAGCTTATCATATGAGTGATTGTCGGTCGTCGTCGTCCGTGTCAATGTTTTACTTTTTCGACTTCTTCTTGAAAACTACAAGCCTGAATGCTTTGATACTTGGTGTATATGTACCTTGGGTAGACCTCTCTCAGATTTGTTCATTTCATGATGATATCTTCAATTCTCTAATTTTGGTGAATATTTTTGTCATTTTTGGTAAAAAGTGATATTTTCGACTTCTTGTTGAAAACCGCAAGTCCAATTGCTTTGATATTACATATATAGGTACTACATGTCGACCTCTCTCAGATTTGTTCATTTTGTAATGATATCTTCAATTCTCTAATTTTGGTGAATATTTTTGTAATTTTTGGTAAAAAGTGATATTTTCGACTTCTTGTTGAAAACCGCAAGTTCAATTGCTTTGATATTACATATATAGGTACTACATGTGGACCTCTCTCAGATTTGTTCATTTTGTAATGATATCTTCAGTTCTTTAATTGAAATGTGCATTGCTAACAGCAGAGCTATCTCAGCCGAGAGGCTGCTTGTTTAAAATTTCTTTTAATCTCAAAACTTTGTTTGATGACACGTGAGAGAAAGTCATATCTTATGATTAATCTGAATGAACTCTTATATTGTTGAAGCATTACAAAAAATAATCTAGTTTCCCACAATGCATTGTACATATGCTCAATGGTTTACAATTCGGCTCAAACTACCTGTTTTACAATTTAACAACATTATTATCAATTCCAGATTCAGCCAAGACCAATTCTTTCTCAGCAGCCACGCCAGAGGCTTCCCACACCATACCATTTGCCACAGCAACCAAATATACAACAACATCCAAGAATGCAGCAGCCACGTCTTCAGCATTCACAACAGGGACAGCCAAGACTACACCTGCCCCAGACAAGCCAACTTAGGCCACCACAGCCTAAAGTCAGCATTCCAAGGGCACCTGCTCCCTTAATGAACCTTACTCCGCCTGCACAAATAGAAAAGACAGCACCACAGCAACAACAACCGCCGAAGGAAGAGGTAATGCTGGTCTAGAATTTTTCAGTCTGGCTGTTAATAATGACCTTATCTGTGCAACAATTCAGTGAAAAGTTACCCATAAATAACTTGAAAAGCATAGAAAAATATGAGCCAGCAGTCGCTACCTTCCCATGAAACATCAAAGCTTACAGGAGTTTACAATTTTAGTGACAATTATCACAAATTGTGACACCCCCTTCCCTCCCACTTTTATAACATGCAGTTTTATCAAAGTATGCAGTGTGACCTTTACAGGACACATGCACAGTAACTAACTACAGTTTATGTTATTAGCAAACCTTGAATGGTCTGCAATGATTGTCGTATCATTTGAGCTTACTGTCATTTACTTTGTTTAACAGGAACCAATGGATGAGGAAACAAGGATTATGAAAATCAAACTAGATGAACAAAAGAAATTACGAGAAGCGATTCAGAAGAGGAAAGAAGAGAGAAGACAACAAATGGCAATAAAGAGACAGGCAGAACTTAAGAAGAAATTTATGCTTGAACAAGGTGGTGGTGACGCCAGCACACAGGTGGCTGCTGTACCTGTGGTTGAACCAGTAATTCAAACTGTTGATAAGCAACAGCCAATGATGCAACTGCAACATGAGACATCAGAACAGCAAGGACAGCTGCAGTTTCAGCCAGGACAGTCATTACAACAGGGACAGCAAGTATCACAAGTTTTGCAATTTTCGCAGCAGAAATTGATGCCAATGCAGCAAAAACTGCAACCTGGACAAAGAAAAGTGTTGTTGACCAAAAAGGCGAAGCTGCAGCAAATGAAGCTTCAGAAGCAAAAGCCCCAAAAACTGCAGCATCAACAAAATATGCAGCAACAGCAGGCATTGGTACAGCTAGGAACACCAAATCAACTGCAACAACCACAGCCCCTTATGTCACTACCAGGACAAGGTAACTCTGTGGTTAAAGTTCTCACTGGAGGTGATGAACTACCTCAACAGATACCAACTATAGGTGGCAGTATGCCCATCAAACCTTTATCTCAAGCCAAACCATTCCTCATGCAAAGTCCCAGATCTTCAACTGCTAAAGCGCCGATTAAACGGGTAAGGTATTAGGTTGTTTCCTTTGGAAACGTGTTAACACAGGTGTCTGAGTTATACACTGATATCCATTGACAGTGTATTACATTAATGCAAATAACAATTACCTTGTGTAGACATATCATACTTTGACATGCTGGGTGATCTCATTCAAATTTCTCAATTTTTAATTATCATCGAAAAATGTGATCCATACTTCTAGTGTTAGTAGTTTTCAATATGATTTTAAAATACACCCAATAGTTAATTGGCATTGGGTATTATTTGATAAAAATATTGAAAACAATTTTAAAATAATTTATACTTACAGAAAATAATGATGAGTTCTGGAAATAAACAGCTGAAAATCCACAAGGTGGTGAAGATGCAGCCAAAACAACAACAGCCACAGCCACAGCCAGAAAGGAAAGTAGTAACTAACCCTAAGAATGGTGCTCCAATGTCTTTTAGAATGGTAGCCATTGATGGTTTGCCATCTAACGTGGGTAAAGATAAATTATTGGAGATGCTTAAATCAAGTGGAACAGTAGAGGTAAGATGTCATTTGATTATTATTAATAATCATAGTTATTTACTACTGTGATGTATACTGTGAATTATTGCTGCACACATTACGATGTTAAATGTTATCATTTTATGTGTACATATATCAAACAGTATGCAGAGAAAGACCAATCATGTGACATGGTTTATCTGAGTGATTTCAGATTCAGTAATATTCACTCATAGGATGCAAATATTGGAAGAAAGGAAATAATTTTTGACATTTTAAATGCATGTATTGTGTCAATTTGTGTAAATGAAAACAAATAGAGTTTACCACTCTTGTTTAGCAATATCATAAGATGACTCATAAAATGCATTTCTTTGTCTTTCAGACACTTCAGATTATTCCAAGTCAGCACAAAGCCCTGGCACGTTACTTGAGACAAGAACATGCTGAAGCATTTCAGAAAAAATATCATAGGTAAGAGTG